TTCTAAACAAAATTCTTTTGATAATTTGGGTTTTGTATTTACTTCTCTGAATTAGAAAACCCATGAAAAGATTACTATTTTTAAAATTTTATTAAAATTAAAACTAATTAAAATTTTGCATAATGCTGCACACTCTATCTTCAATGCTTTCCTGACTACATTTCCTCATTAACCCTTACTGTGAAATGAAACACTGAGCAGGTGAAAGGCTTTCATGGAGATGGAGTAACCTCCAAATGCATATATATCATTTCAAAACTAATTATATTTCTTCACTCTCTGAAAGCCCACCAGAACTGGGCAAGTACCAGGGAAAGTTATTCATTAACAGTTCGATTTGGCATGTTCACACACATTTTTTGTATAAGGCTTCACATGACTGCATCCTTCACAGCTAGGGCCACACAAAATCCCTGCCTCTGTGTCAATTCAATAAATCAAAAACAGATTTACACAACACCTGCATGCACTGTAGGAGCTGGAATGGTTAAAGGTCCCAAAAATCGAGCACCTCTTCTCTTATCTCCCCACAACATGTGCAGAATCTGGGGAGGACTTTCTGAGATGGGGGAAAGAGTTATTTGACAACTATTGCAGCGTAACAAGAAAATTGACCTTAAGAAGGAAGAGGGTAGGCATAGAGATAAGAAAGGTCAAGTGTTCTCCTCTCAGAATCTGGTGTAGAAGCTTCCTCTCCTGAACCCCATAATAGGCTCATTTTTAAAAAATACCCATTACTGGCTTATTAGAATATTTTTCTCTCACTATATAGCTCTTTTACAATAAACTGGAGTTTCAGTTCAAAAGCAGAATTCACTGACTTCAAATAATTGACCAGAATTGACCAAATTACCTCACCCCTATCATCACTAAGAAAAGTAAAAGCTGGCATATAGTGAAAACCATTCAAATACACAGAGACCAATGACCACAGAGACCAATGTTCACAAAAGCTTTCAAGCAGATCTCATTGAACACAAAGTTTACTAATCAAACTTCCTCATGGCAGCTAAATGCCATCCCCCAGAGAGAACAGGTACCTTCAACCATTCAAATACATTCCCACAGAGACCAATGTTCACAAAAGCTTTCAAGCAGATCTCATTGAACACAAAGTTTACTAATCATAAACTTCCTCATGGCAGCTAAATGCCATCCCCCAGAGAGAACAGGTACCTTTAACTGCAAGTACTAACTCATGTAGTACTGAGAACATATTTTACTGTAGTATAACAAGAGCTCCCTGGGGTTAAAATAACTCACCACAAATGGGTGTGGGAACGGATTCAGTAAAAATCTGAGGTCCTAACCTCATCCTCCAAATCCAGGGATAGTGCAAATACAATTCATTACCCAAAAACTTCATTAACATAGAGTTAAAGTTGACAGTCGGTGCCTTGTATCCTTTGGAATCTCAAATGTACCTGTATTCAATTTTCTGAAAACTAAGAAATAGAGCTAAGGTAATGTTCATTCTACATCCCCAGAAAATCTTAACTCTGACTTCTCTGAGTGAAGCCCTGAGCCCATGAGAGACATCTGTACCCTCAAGGAATTGGAGGGCAGTGTGAAAATTGTACAAGAGTGCCTACACACATCCACTACTCTTAGGCCTTGTCTTTACTAGAATAAAGGTAGAATTGACATCAGCCATAGCAAACAGGATTTAGCTACGCACAACCTACACACAACCACTTTATCTACAGTAGACAGGCCAAAGAGTTGCTAGATACTAACACAGGGGTGGGCAAACTATGGCCCGCGGGCCAGATCCAAAACCCTGAGCCCCCATGCGTTGCCCTTGCCTCCAGGCACCACCCGCCATAGCTCCCATTGCCCAGGAATGGGGAACCGCGGCCAGTGGGAGCTTCGGGGGAGGTACCTGGAAGCGCGGCAAGGGCAGTGTACGCAGAGCCCTCCACAAGGGGCCGCAGCACTTCCTAGAGCAGTGCAGGGCCGGGGACAGGGCAGGCGTGCAGGGCCGGGGACAGGGCAGGCGTGCAGGGAGTCTGCCCTGGCCCCGGTGCGCACTGCTGCCACCCCAGAGCCTCTTGAGGTAAGCGGGGCTGCAGCCCGAACCCCTCCTGTACCCCGCCCCCCAACTCCCTGCCCTAAGCCCCTGCCTGCACCTCACACCCCAACTCCCAGTCCTGAGCCCCTTGTACACCCCCACACCCCTCCTGCACCCCAACCCCCTGCCGAGCTCCCTGCTGCATCCTACACCCCTCTGCACCCCAACCCCCTGCCTTGAGCCCCCTCCCACAGTCCTCACTCCTCCTGCACCCCAACCCCCTGCCCTGAGCCCCCTCCTGCACTCCACACCCCTCCTGCACCCCAACTCCCTGCCCTGAGCCCCCTCCGTACACCCCACACCCCTCCTCTGCCCCAATCCCTTGCCCTGAGCCCCTTCCTGCACACCGCACCCCCTCCCACACCCCAACCCTCTGCCCAGCCCTGCATACTATTTCCCCACCCAGATGTGGCCCTTGGCCCAAAAAGTTTGCCCACCCCTGTACTAACATCTATTCACATCCATGTCCTAAGAATTTCCTCTGGGGTGTCACCTTCTGTTAGCCCCAACTTAGCCCCAACTTCTATTAGTGGCACCACACTAATAGAACTCATCAGGGCAGTGGTTCAACCCAGGAGATAGAGGGTACATAGCACTGTGTGTATGCTGGTGCAGAGGAGTTCTGAAGGACACTGAGATTATGCAAATGTTAGGAGAGGATGAAACGTGTATTTTCCCATCTTCCTGACATACCTAGTGGAATGTCTGGCTGCTATTTCCAGAGGCTTTCTAGCGGGCTTAAAACTCCACAGGCATTTTGAAAAGCCTTTCATACTTCTGGATTTTGGAGTCAAGAAGGCCACTGTGATCATTTACTTGGAGCTCCTGCCTGTCATAGCCCAGAGAGATCTCTAAATCTTCTATTTAAAGCTGCATGTCTCATCAGATGACATTGCAAGTTCTAGCATCTTGCTGCAGCTAACCCCATGATCAATGTAGCTTCTCCTGATACAGACAGGGTCAATAAGCATGTATGAAGCAGAAACATGGTGTAGCATTTTGCTTGTCACACCACAGAAGATGGTAGATTTTGTTACTGATAAATCAAGATTGATTTTGCCCCAGCCTACTATTAATTGCAGGTGGGGAGGTACACCAAGGGTAAATGCATTTGACATTTTGGAAGGATACAAAGCACTGTCAGCAAACTTTAACTCTATTAATAGAGTCAAGTATCAGAGGGGTAGCCGTGTTAGTCTGGATCTGTAAAAAGCGACAAAGAATCCTGTGGCACCTTACAGACTAACAGACGTATTGGAGCGTATTCACCCACAAAAACTTATGCTACAATATGTCTGTTAGTCTATAAGGTGCCACAGGACTCTTTGTCTCTATTAATGGAGTTCGGTATAGTGAATTTCCCTTTTCTTTTTGCTTTATTTTTTGTTTTTTAGGATATGGTGGTAGTGATTGAGCATGATTGAGGGAATATTCTTGTGAAGATCCCAATGCCACTCTATTATGACCTTTGCCCTCCTCCTGACCCTTGATAACCCCAGTAGGGCTGCAGCAGCCATGGGGAAAAAAAAGAGGTAAAGTGATAACAGGAGTGCTCCTCACAATCAGCTTTAGGCACCCAGGGGCAGGACAGGGAAACTTTAGGGCATGTCTACACTGGGAAAGTTACAGCGCCAGCAGTTAGAGTGCTGCTCAGAGAGCGCCAAAAGAAACCCGCTGTTGTGTGTTCACACTGCGCAATAGCATGTTCACACTTGCGGCGCTGTTCAGAGTGGTGCACTCTGGGCAGCTATCCCACAGAGCACCTCTTTCTCTTTTGCCAGTAAAACTTGTGGGAAGACGGAAGGGGTCGTGGGGCATCCTGGGTCCTGTCCCAATGCCCTGTGATGCATTGCTTTGCATCCCAACAATCCCTGTGCTTCCATCTGCATTTGGCGCCATCTTTCAATGATTTGTGTACTGTGTGCCCTGCCCTGCCTCTTTCTGGCTACAGCAAGGAATGGTTTAAATACAGGCTGAGCAAGTGCAGAATGACTGTGACGTATGCATTCAGCTGTTTAAAAGCCTAATAGCGATGCCTGTATGGGAAGCTGGATGTATATTCCTATGCTTATAGCCGCGTGCTGTACGCTCCATAATATTTGTGAAGGGAAGGGTGAAATCTTCACTCAGGGCTGGACCACAGAGGCTTGGCGCCTGGAGGCTAAGTTTGAACAGCCGGAGACCAGGGCTATTAGAGAGGCACAGTGCAGGGCCAGAAGGATCAGGGATGCTTTAAGGCAACAATTTCAAGCTGAAAGCCAGTAATATTTGTTGCTATGCTTGTGATTGCAGTGCTTGTAATGCTAGGAGGTGATTGGTGCACATGATGCAAGAAGGGGCCTTAACATAATTATATGTTGCTTTGCAGTGTTCCTTTTGCTTTCACTTAATAGAATAAAGATTGCTTTCAAAGAAACAATTTTTTTATTGAAAGACAACCACCAGAGGAGAGAGTCAAACGAAAAAATTCATCAGCAGAGAGGGGAATGGGGGAATGGAAGGTCTCAAGAGGAGGAGGGGTCCCAGGATGGCTACAGGTTTGTGTATGTCCAGGGATCATACCCAATCTTCTCCTCTGGAGTACGATGCAGCGGATGCTATACTTCAGCAGGGCCAAACTGCAGATGGATGGGTGTTGAGTGCAGTGGGTATTGGGAGTCCACAGTGCTGGAATGTGAGGACGGAGGAGTGGAATGCTGCGGGTAGAGAGTGGAGCCAAGAGGCTGATAAGAGTGTATTGGCGATGGGGGAGGAGCTCATGGGAAAGAGTTTTGCGACAGTGGCTTCAGGGGAGGGCGGACGCAGAGCTGCTCGGTTTGAAGAGCTAGTATTGCCTGGAGAGTGTCCGCTTGGCACTCCATAACTATTAAAAGCCACTCCATGGCTTCTTTCTGGTGTGCCGCGTTCTCCTTTAGTTCCCTCTTCTCACTGTCCCGCCACTGCTTCAATTCCTTTTTCTCAGCGGCGGGGTGCATCATAACCTCACGCATAAAGTCCTCCTTAGTTCTTCTTGGACGCTTTCTAATTCTTCGAAACTGTTCTGCCACCGATAACAAGGAGGGAGGCTGTGCTTCCAAGGTCATCTCTTTGAAGTTTAAGTGCAACATTTTACAGAAGCAGTATTGTTTGCAACACAGACATTGTTTCAATGCTTTAAAACACAGCCAGTACTCACACACCTGTCACTAACTGGCTGAATAAGCCACAAGACCCCCAAAATGGTGCGTAGCCACAGGGGCAGGGTAAATCATTCTTTCCAGACCCTGCTGTACACTGGGCATGTGGCTCTTGGGCACTTGGGGAGAGCCAGCACTGTAGGGGGTGCCTGATAATCATTCCTATCCCCACACTTTCCACAGGTGGTGATCATTATGGAAGATATCTCGCTGCTGAGGGTGAGCAGGGAATCAAGGGAGGGTCTTCTCCAAGCCTGCAGCTTCCACCCTGGCCCCTATGCAGCTAGTCTGTGTGCAGCTATGGTCTTGCCCCCTCTCCCCCCATGACAGCACAGTGGCGCAGGAAAGTTACCGTTAATGGGGCAAGAAACAAAGCAGCTCTGCTGAGGAACCTGCGGGAGCGGATTTCCCTGTATTTCCACAAGAGTTTCCTGGAGATCTCTGAGGGAGATTCACATGAAGTGAGGGAGTGTATGAACAGCCTGTTCTGCCGCTCAAACTAGGCATGAGGTGGGAGACAAGCCTGCTTTCTACAATCCTGCTGCCCCCAACAACTCGCTTCAGCAATTCCCAAAAATCAGATCCACTTACCAGGGGCCTCCTCTCCTGTTTGTGCTTTGCCAAGATCCAATTGCTGTGACTGGCTAGGCTCCACTGGGGTAGAAAAGAGCTCCTGGCTGCATGCATCTCTGGCCTCCGAGTCATCCTCTGCCTCTGGTTTCCCCTCCCCCTCTTCATCAAAGATTGCCTCCTCCTGGCTCGGTGCACTCTCGACTGGCAATGAAGCCAACAAAGTATCCACAGGGGACTTCACAGTGGAGGTGGGTTCACCACCAAGTATCGCATCCAGCTCTTTGTAGAACCGGCAGCTCGTGGATGCAGCACCGGAGTGGTGGTTTGCTGCCCATGCCTTGTGGTAGGCATTCCGCAGCTCCTTCACTTTGACCCTGCACTGCAATGTGTCCCGGTCGTGGCCCTTTTCTATCATGCATCTAGAAATCTGTCCATAGGTATCATAATTCTGATGGCTGGAGTGCAGCTGTGACTGCACTGCCTCCTCTCCCCAAATGCCGATGAGGTCCAGCAGCTCGGCATTGCTCCAAGCAGGGGATCACCTGGTGCGTGGAACAAGCATGGCCACCTAGAAAGATGCATTGAGACCACTGCATGCATCACTGAGCAAACAGTAAGGGAACTTTCAAATTTGCAAAGGAATGTACGGGGTAGGGGTGACGGTTGGTCAACTGAGGGCAGAGCAGTAGAGTTCAAACCGATGGCCAGAGAGGTGAGAACAGGTATTGTGGGACACCTCCTGGAGGCCAATCGCAGTGCTGTAATCACCATGGTGTCTACACTGGCACTGCAGCACTGTAGCCACGGCGCAGAAAACTCTACGCCTCTTGTCGAGGTGGTTTTTTTTAGAGCGCTACATCTGTGCAGTTTCTGCGCACTAAGTGGCTTGGTAATGCGTACACCTCAGGAGTTACAGCACTCAAAGCTACTTTACTGGGCACAAACTTGCCAGTTGTGGTGTTTAGATGCTGCTTGTAATTATTAGAACTGGGAGCACTGGCTGTTGGGAGTCTGAAAGGACAGGAAACAGGAAGGAGGGGGAAGGAGTTGAGGAGGCTGGGAGAGTTACAGAGTGTGCAGCTACAGCTTGGAGAAGAGAGACTTGCACTGTAAATAAAGTTCTGTTGAAGTTGTTAATACTTTGCCTGGTGGATACAACATTTTGGCAACGAGGATGGATCTTCTGCCTCTGAATCCACCTGCACCCTTTCTGCAAAGCCCAGGTGAGCCTCCAATTGCTTTTACTGCCTGGATCCGTATGTTTGAGACTTATCTGCTTGCAATCAGTGCTACAGAGATTTCTGAAGTAAGAAAGCGTGCTCTGCTAATCCACTGCTTTTAAAAAGACAGTATATTTTACACTTTTCCCCTTGCAGATGATAAATATGAGACTGCACTCACTGCATTAAATAACTTTTTTGTGCCAAAAGTGAATGCAGTAGCTAATCACTACAGATTTCGCCAGCGTGAGCAGAAACCAGGGGAGACTATAATGCAGTATATGGCTTCCCTGAGGAGTCTGATTGTAACTTGTGACTTTGGGAATATGGCAGATGAGATGATTAGAGAACAGCTCATTGAGAAAACAACAATGCTTCATGTAAGACAACGCTTACTTCTAGAACCACAACTTACACTAGAAAAAG